CCTGCTGAAGCCAGAGGCAATTGACAAGGAGTATGAGGCAAGGGGTGGCTCAGGGCCATACAGGGGCATGGACACATGGAGAGGGGAGATGGTCCTCACACCTTCCTCAGGGTCTGTGGAGATTGGGATAGGGAGACACCACCACAAAACAAGCCACCTCCTGGTAGCTCACCGTGCTCACCACTTACATGGCTGCAGCCATACAGGCAGTGCCACACTGTCCCAGGGATCTTGGACAATGTCCCCTTCCCCATATCATACAACTCCAGAGCTCAGCCCCATCCTCAGCAAGGAGTGGGGGTGCCAGCATGGGACCCTACAGAGGTGATGGAGATGCACCTTCCTGTCTGGGCAGAGAACATGGGACATAAGGACACGCTTGTGCCACATTCAACCCACAGCCACAATCCCACACCCTGTGTCCTCAGGGCTCACAGAGGTGGGAGAACACCCCAGCCCAGCTCTCCACACTGTTGGGGTGGGTATTTGGAGCTAGTGCCCCCCCTGACATAGCTGTGCCCCTCAGTTTGAAGTGGATGAGAAGACCTACTTCAAGAACATCCTCAACAGTATCGCCTTCAGCATCAGGCTCTCGGTGAAGAAGATCCGGCAGGAGGTGGACAAGTCTGTGTGGGTATCCCCCTGCCCTGGGGGGGGCACAGCACAGCCCCACCAATGCTCCCCCTTGTGCCTCCACAGCCTGGCACTGCTGTGTCCCCTTGCAGGTGGCTGCTGCCTCCCCAAGCTCTGAACGCCTACTACCTGCCCAACAAGAACCAGATGGGTGAGGCACTGCCTGGCCCCCTGGGCTCAGCCCCCCCAGGATGGGGGTGTGGGAAGGGCCAGGGGTGGGGTAGAGGGGCACAATGCAGGGTCCCCTGGTCCTGGGTGACACCACGGGTGGGCACAGGGCAATGTTGCCCCCAAACTGCAATGCTCTCCTGTATCCCCAGTGTTCCCTGCTGGCATCCTGCAGCCCACCCTCTACGACCCCGAGTTCCCGCAGTGAGTGTGGGGCTGGGGCATGGGGCAGGGGGGGGGGTGTCAGGGCAGGGATGGGGGTGTCAGGTCCTGGGGTCACCGCCTTCCCTGCCAGCACCGTGTCCTCTACCTTCTCACCTCTGCTGCCCCCACAACAGGTCTCTGAACTATGGTGGGATCGGCACCATCATCGGCCACGAGCTGACCCACGGCTACGACGACTGGGGTGAGCAACCCCCCACCTCGTGCTGGGGTGGGAGGTGGGTGGGCAGGGGGGAAGCCAGGCAGGACACCTGGGTCCCGTGGCATGACTGGTGGTGCTGGTTCCCTCTGCAGGGGGACAGTATGACCGGCATGGGAACCTGGTGCACTGGTGGACAGAGCGGTCGTACAGCAAGTTCCTGAAGAAGGCCCAGTGTATCGTCAACCTCTATGACAACTTCACTGTCTACAACCAGCGGGTGGGAGCCCCTGGCCCTCTGGGGGATGCCTGGGTCCCCACTTCTCCACTGCTGGGGCTGGGTGCCTGCAGGAGAGCATGATTCTGCTCTGCCAAGCCCTGACAACTCATCATACCTCAGTGGGGAAATTCCCCAGGGCACAGGGAGGAAGAAACAGGGTGGGGATGGGGAGAGACATCTCTGCTCACCCCATCCTCTCTCCTCTCTTGGCAGGTGAACGGCAAACACACACTGGGGGAGAACATTGCTGACATGGGAGGGCTCAAACTTGCCTACTACGTAAGTGTCCCCATACCCTGGGGTGTCATGGCTCCATGGGGCAGCTGCTGATGCCATCTGCACTGGGTGGGCAGGAGACAACCCCCCCCATCCCCCCCTTGCTCCCTGCATCAGCGAGTGGGCATGATCCTGCTTGCTGGTTGTTACGGAGGTTTGGGGTGGGTTTAAGGAGCATGCAGGCATGCTGAGGGCACCCCTTGTTCTCCAGGCCTACCAGAAGTGGGTGCGGGAGCACGGCCCTGAGCACCCCCTGCACCACCTGAAATACACCCATGACCAGCTCTTCTTCATCGCCTTTGCCCAGGTGAGCCCCTGCCCTCCCCACACATGGAACACACCAGAGCAGGGAGGGTCACCCTGTGTGGGGCTGGGGCAAGAGCCCTGGAGGACTCAATGCTCGTGGCCTGGAGCTGGGCTCAGCTCCATCAACAAGTCATGAGCACAGGGAACAGGGTTCAGCCCTGCAAGGAGCACCCTGCACAGCCCCACAGATCCTGGGGACCCCAAAATAACAAATGTGTCCTACATCACCTCCAGAGAACCCACAGCAACAAATGCACATGACCCCAATCTTCTAGCAGACCCTACAGCCATGCAGCTCACACCTCCAGGGGACCCTACAACCACAAACACAACCCCCAGCAGCCCAAAGGGCCACTGTGCCCCGGTGGGTGCCAGGTCCTGGGGCGCCCTGTCTGTCTCACCCTCAGGGTCCTTTCTCCCCACAGAACTGGTGCATCAAGCGGCGATCCCAGTCCATCTACCTGCAGGTGCTGACAGACAAGCATGCCCCAGAGCACTACAGGTACCAGCTGGCCCTGAAATGGGGGGGCCAGGGGGCATGCCAGCCTTTCCCAAGGTTGGTGGTGCCATGCAAAGTGGGGTGGGCACCCTTTGGGGCGTTGGCACCAGCTGGTTCTGGATGCACATCCCTGGGACAGGGGATGTTGCTGGGGTGGGTGCCTCAAAAGGGGTGCATGGCAGCAGCAAGGGGGCAAGGGGTGTCTGGCTCTGAGTTGCCCCTCCCTCCTCTCCTGGCAGGGTCCTGGGCAGCGTCTCGCAGTTCGAGGAGTTTGGGCGGGTTTTCCACTGCCCCAAGAACTCACCCATGAACCCAGTGCACAAGTGCTCTGTGTGGTGAAGCCGCTCCCCCCCCGGCAGGCTGGCACTCCTTGTCCCCCATCCCTGCCCTGTCACCCTCTGCCTGCTCCCCACCTCCATCTGTCTCCCCTTTTACTCTCCAGGCAAAGTGGGCACTCCTGGGTGACACAAGGGGTCACCCCCCCAAAAAAAAACAGGCACATGCCAGAGTTGTGGGGTCAGTGGGGAGACACTTGGGGTGGGCATGAGCCCCTTCCCAGAGGCAGCTGCCTCCTGTCCACACCCTTCCCCTGCCCTGCCCTGCAAACTGGGGGGACTCTGAGTCCCCATGGAGGAATTAGGTAATGCAGAGCACCCCCCACGCACCCATGTACCCCCTCTTCTGCCCACCCACTGCAATCCTTTTACCCAGCCCTACCACCTCCAGCCCAGCACCAGATGGGGCAGGGAGAGCGAACCAGAGATGTCGTGGAGCTGCTCTGTGCCAAAAGCCCTCCTGTCCCGTGCCCTCCCTGGTACCCCCCATGCCAGCTCCACCCTGTCCCCACATCAGCCCTGCCAGCAGGTGGGCACAGCTGGCAGGACTTGGGGCTGGGTGATGCCAGCCTGCCCCAGGAGCATGGGGACATGGACACCTGCTGTATTTTTCGATGCTGTTTCTGGTCAATAAAGCACTGGATATGCTGGGTGGGTGCAAGGGGCCATGGTTGGGCGTCGTGTGGGGACAGGCAGTAGAAGGCTCCTGCCCACAAGGCATGGGCACCCACACACTGCTTAACATGCCTGTCCCTCCAGAATCACATCCCATGTTTATTAAACACTGAGAACATTGTGTGGGTGGTGCAGTGACCCCTGTGCCTGAGATTCAGTGCCCCAAGGCTGCTACATCCAGACCAGGGATGCTCCAAAGAGCTGTGAGCCACCTGGGGGTGCAGCAGCCATGGAGAGGGGGGTACCTGTGTCCACCTGTGGGGTGCTCCAGGGCAGTGGGGTCAGCAGAAGAGGAGCAGGAGAAGGGTGGGCAAGAGCAGAGCCAAGAGAGTGGCGTGCATGCCAGGGGCAGAGTCCCACTGAGGGCAGGAGGTGTAGGGCTCCAGGCAGGCAGCGTAGGCCATGGCGTGGGCCACGTAGGTCTGCTCCTGCACCCCGTGGAAGAGGTGGGCCATGGGGCCCTTGGCCAGGATGGCCACGTCCTCTCCGCCGTGGGTCTCCGAGTCAAGGGGCACGGCTGCCTGCTGCTTATAGTCGAACTGGCCTGGGGAGACAGGAGAAGGAGGTGAGTGGGGTGGTGGCCCCCTGCTCTATCCCACTACGTGGCCATGGTCCCTGTGTCCTCACTGGCTGTGTCATGGTCTGTATCAGGCCGGTTGGTGCCTGCGTAGCCTGGCCCATTCCCATAGAGGATGGACGTGTAGTTCTTCTTGTCATTGGCTTTCTTGGGGGCGAGACCTAGGGAGGGTGCAATGAAGAGTGAGGGCATCAGCCAAGAAGCCCCATATTACCCCTCTGGCCACAGCCAGGGCTCCCTGGAGTCAGCAGTGCCCAGCATGGGGGTCTGCTCCCAGCAGGGGGGCAGAGCCCTACCAAAGATGGAGGAACCACGCAGGGTGTAGCCACCAAAGGAGAAGACATGTGAGTGGTCAGCAGTGATGACAGTGAGGGTCTCCTCCTCGTTGGTCAGGTTGCCTGCCCGCTCGATGGCCCGGTCAAACTCCACCGCCTCTGTCAGCGCTTTGCGGGCTGAGCCGTCATGGTGGCCATGGTCAATCCTGCCACCTGCAGATGGGCACCTGTGGGCTGGGGACTGATGGCAGCACCCCCAGCTCCTTCCCCCACCCTTGGATGTAGGACCTCCCTTTGGGGCACCAGCACTGACTTACCTTCAACAAAGAGGTAGAAGCCGCTGGGGTTCCTACTCAGGATGGTGATGGCTGCCTCTACCATCTCAGTGAGTGACGGGTCCAGGGTGGTGTCACGCAACTGGTTGAACTTCATATCCCCAGGTTCGAAGAGCCCTGAGAGGTGATGCATTGGGGACAGCCTCAGTGCCTGCACGTGTCCCAGTGGCTGTCAGGTCCCGGCACATGGAACATTTGTTACCCATCAAATAATTCACGTTGGGGTCAGCAGCAGCGGCCAGCATCTCTGTCTTGTTCCAGACGTAGCGGGCACCCTGCAGGCAAATGTCATGGGGGTTCAGGGGCTGCCTGGGACTGTGCCTGGGGGCTGTGGCCAGGAGACTGTCCCCTTTGTGTCACTCACTGGCCGTGCCTCCAGCCACATGTCAATGAGGTTATTATTGTCCTCACGCATCCCATTCTCCCGTTTGTAGGTGGGATACTCAGGGTCTGGCGTCCCCACAGGGGTCATGTATTTCCGACCACCACCCAGGATTACCTAGAGGGGATGAGATGGGTGCAGTGTTAGGAGGGGTGCCCAGGGGGTGTCTGCCCTTGCTCCCCCCACCCATGCAACGGGTACTCACGTTGATGTCAACGTTGTGGACCAGCTGCCAGGCAATGTCCTTGCAGCCCTGGGTGCGGGCGTCGGCGGGCATGCTGGCATCGGCGTACCAGTCGCGGTTCACCACGTGGGCGTAGGTCCCCGAGGGCGACGCGTGCTGCACCCGTGTCGTCGTCA